ATGTGCCGCATTCATTCAACATAAATTAATAGAGACATTCCCGACAACCACTTTGGGCTCATAAAACTGACCAGGAATACGTGAAATAAATTCTGCAGGATTGTATTTGTAAATGTAAATGTAAAGTCTGTCAAAAAACGAAATACGATCGTCACCCCCAGAAACATATTCTTTGAGAAACACACATTCCTTTGAATACAGGCGAACTATTACATATCTACATATTTTTAACAGACAACAACATTTGTTTACTGGCTTAGAAAAATTCTCAAAACCAATTGGCAACCAATTGCTTCCAGAAGAATAGCTGACAATAAAATCGCAATATGAACTTTGATCGGCGAGCAAAAACGTACCAAGGATACTCCTATCAAGTCCGATAGAGTCAGGCCACTTTAAGGTAATACCTTTAACTCCAGAGCACTTTAAATGGACAAGTAGGCAGATACCATAATCCATTTCAGATTACAGATTCCATTTCCACCCTATTAGAGACCGCACGATGTTTAAAGATCGAGAGAGGTATTGAGGACACAGTCGAAAACTATCCGAACAGTTGCAAATTGACATAATTTTTTCATCGATCATGGAACTTAACGCGGAAATTAAGAATACAATTTTAAGTAAACAAAATATTCTGCTAAAAAGATTAAACAAGACAAGACCGGACAGAAATTTTAATATGGGAGAAAAAGTTCACAATCTTAATAAAGGGTATGGAGGTTCACAAGGGCAATATAAGGTAATTACAAGAAAATCCTACCATTCTTACTTTATCTTTATTGATACTCCAGGATTTGGACAATACTCCTTCTCACCATACACTGGCTCGAACTACATACCGATCATATACGGCGACTTAACTATTTGGAAGGACTTTCAATATTTAAAACATTCAACTAACCTTACCACTTACTCTGCAATAGTAGAAGATGTCATTAAAGACTCTCATGTCCATCATAGATATGCTAGAAGTATCAATTTATTAAGTATCGCGGTAAAATTTTCAGCGGGTAGCCCCGATTCCGGTGACTTCGAGAATTTGAAATTTTCACAAAAAGAGAATTGAAGAATCAGATAACATACAGATAAATATTAAACAAAGATCCAAGAACAAATAAACGCGATAAGAAAGACAGTAAATACCTTTAAAAAAAATCCAAAAGCAAAACAAATCAATACACCTATACGAAACCTTACTTTCATGAAGAAGAATTATCTTTATTTCTAAACTCGAAGCCATAATATTATCGGTCACAACAACAAAAATTGGAATTTTTAACCTGGCGATTTTAGACACCAATGATTTAAAAAATCTATGAACACTTTACAAATATTACTATTACAGACCTAATGGGGGAGTACGCCAAATTAAAGTTTTGCTAAACAATAATTTTCTTCATTTCTTAATAAAATATTCAAAGTCCAGCCTAGAATGTAAAATAATAATCCTACATCCTGTCCAGCACAACAAAACCATTCTAAATTTTGCGAAAAACAGTAACATCATAGCCTACTGCGGTCGTCAAATACATAATATCGATTGGGAAATGCAGCGATACACTCACTACTACATTTTTTAGAAAGTCAAGCTACACAACACAGTCACGTTGAGCACTTGACGGTCATCGACGACTGCTTTATCATCTATGATGAAACGCCTACAATCAACGGTGAACTGGTAAAAGGAACATTTCTCGTTACATTCGACGAGGAAATAAATGTAAACGACTAAATATTCCGGAATTTCAAGAATGTTGTACCTTTTTCGGACTCTACCAGAAGGTCCCAAGTCAAGACATCATTGACTGCTTCAAGAAGTCCTACGACGTCCTCTACTTAAGCAAGAGAGAAGTTAATACGATTGTCCCAGCAAGTGTTGCCTAACAGCGTTCCCAGCTCCGGGCCACGATTGCAAGGTCAGCGTAAACAGTGGACGTTGCCCAACAGCGTCCGCAGCTCCGAGCCATGAAATTCATGCAAGGTCAGCGTACGCAATCTAAAGCAATTCCCAGCTCGACGATGAATTTCTCGCTTCACTTGATATTTGTCAGTCTGCACGAGGCGATGGATCAGCAGTTCTAGGGTGTCGGGATAGCTATCGTTTTAAGAACTGTTGAATTTGTTACGTACGCCCTATTGGTGAATTCATAAGACTTTGCAGATTCGCACATAACACCAGCCAGAATCTAAAGCAGTGGAAGGGGTACAACCATTTCGTTGAGCTATACGGAATGCAACCCAGAAAATGGAGATCGGCAATAAACGGTTGTCAAATTACCAGTCCAACGAACGCAATCAACCCCACGGAAATGCTACCCCAGTAACGGGCATAGTTCAGCAACAGGGTATTGATTCCCAAAATAGGGAAAATATGTGATATGACTCCTAGGTGATAACACTTGGCCTATCAGACCGATGACCTGAGTAGCCAAGAAAAAGCTCTGAGCCGGTATAAAAAGACTTCGGCCCACAGAGACAGAGAGAGTGAAGTACTTTCCTATCCCGGGAGGTATCATACTCGGGAGAGACCGTCTGAAGACAAGGCTGTCCAAAGTGAAAAGTCTCGATCTCGTAGTCAAGAAATCCAGACAACCCGGTGAGGACAAAATATCTCCAAAGCATTTGGTTTAGTTTAATGAAATTTATTCACCACTCTCCCGTTAGGGCGAGGGTCATAATATTCAAAGTATTTTATAAAGGCAAGGCGTAAGCCTCGGAGTATAATTTATAACTAACTTAATGGTCCGATCCCGCTGAAGCTCCAGGCCTCTGGTTCGCTGCAGAACTCCTGGTAGAGGGCCAGGTCAGCACTTCTGTATCCGGCGGATCACTCGCTCCACGAGTGCTCCGGGCGGGCTCCGGGCAATTGCCCTTGGAGTGCGCGATCAGCAGTTCCTTTATTGCGCGTGCAGACCAACGGATATGGCCTGCAATTCGGCAGTTTTACTCCGTGAGAACTGCTTGTGTTAGCTTACATCTAAATATTAGTTTGGCAAATAAATTTGGCCTTTTTGTCTTTTGAATTTCGCGGCTATGTACAAAGCGCTACAGAGCTCGTATCTGGCAATACTATACATAATTTGAAAGGTCTTGACATAACCTACAAAACGACGCTATGATTAGTTTGGATATTGCGTTCAACAGTTATAGACGTGTAAACATGGAGTTCACTAACGCCGAAATTCGCGCTATTTTAAAGTTTTCCTTCGTTTAAGGCAAATCCGCCAGAGAAACGTTCCGTGAGATTAATGGTGTTTTGGGGGATGGTACTCTATCACTTCGAACCGCGGAGGAATGGTTTCGACGATTCAGAGCCGGTGAAAACGACACCATGGATAAGCCCGCCGGCGGAAGACCTGTGACGACAAATACCGATCAAATCATGGAATACATCGAGTTAGACCGGCATGTGGCATCTCGTGACATCGCCCAGGAGATGGGAGTTAGTCACCAAACCATTTTAAACCATCTGCAGAAGGCTGGATACAAAAAAAAGCTTGATGTTTGGGTGCCGCATGATTTGACGCAAAAAAACCTTCTGGACCGAATCAACGCCTGCGATATGCTGCTGAAACGGAACGAACTCGACCCATTCTTGAAGCGGATGGTGACTGGCGACGAAAAATGGATCACATACGACAATATCAAGCGAAAACGGTCGTGGTGAACGAAGGCCGGTGAATCGTCCCAAACAGTGGCCAAGCCAGGATTGACGGCCAGGAAGGTTTTGCTGTGTGTTTGGTGGGATTGGAAGGGAATCATCCACTATGAGCTGCTCCCATATGGCCAGACGGTTAATTCTACCATCTACTGCGAACAATTGGACCGCTTGAAGCAGGCGATCGACCAGAAGCGTCCAGAATTGGCCAACAGGAAGGGTGTAGTGTTCCACCAGGACAACGCCAGACCACACACTTCGTTGATGACTCGTCAGAAGCTAAGGGAGCTCGGATGGGAGGTTTTATCGCATCCACCATATAGCCCGGACATAGCGCCAAGTGATTACCACCTGTTCCTGTCCATGGCGAATGCCCTTGGTGGTGTAAAGTTGAACTCAAAAGAGGCTTGTGAAAAGTGGCTGTCCGAGTTCTTCGCAAATAAGGAGGGGGGCTTCTACGAGGGAGGTATTATGAAGTTGCCGTCTAGATGGAAACAGATTATCGAACAAAACGGCGCATATTTGAACTAAATCCGATCACTGTAACACTTTTTATAAGGCATTGAATAAAGAGCAAAAAAGCGGAAGGGAGATATTTTCCAACCTATTATATACATATTCTTGTAATACTGGTAACCAAAAGGGATTATGCATAAGAGTATCCAAGGCAATATATCTCATGAATCAAAAGTAGATGTTCAATGTTTAATATAAATAAAATAATATAATAATATATAATAATATAATATAATAAAATAAAATAAAATAAAAAAGAAATAAAAATAACTTCTCAACGGCGAGTATCAGCCTTGTTTTCGATAAGCAAAAACAAGAGCCCTCAAAGAGAGTCGCTCTGTAGTCGTGAATAGCCATCAATTTTTGTTGACGTGTGCACCGTGGTCAGATGATGAAATTAAAGAAATGCTATTAATTTAACTACAACAAAATGAGTAGGAAAACATTTTCACAAGGGGATAGTATTGAGCGGCCAGCGACGATCGTATTTGGCACACGGACGTGGGACGTGGGGAATGCGGTCGAAACATTCCCGATCGTTTTACGATCAAGCTAACAGCTTTGCTTGTGGGGCAGTGAGGACTGCTGTTGAACAGTACGAATGTCATTAGTAGTCAGTTCGGTCGTACCCTGACAACGAAATCAACTCCAATATTTGATCATTTTTACGTTATAGGATATCTTTAATGTTTGATACTTTTTAACGTCTTGAGTATACCCTTTTACGAGTAACGGGCTTAAAAAAAGGGAGTGGTATAGCAAAAGCAAACAAATGTTTATTCGATACAATTATAATTCATTATTATTCTTCCTTGTATTTTAGATAGCACTGTGTATACGGACTGAAGACAGTTTTGAAAGCCAACAAACGGGAAAACTTTTTACAAGAAAGGCCGTCCGGTCAATTCCAGAGCACATCGTACCGCCACCACCAGTACCCATAAGTGCAAACTTAAATTCTGAGCCAATATATGAAGCAATAAACTCATACGAGCTTACAACCACCAAAGAAATAAAAAAAGAAAAGTATATGTTGCTTGATTACAAAAGCGATAAGGATAACAGTAAAAAGTCCACACCCTCTGCTTCCGTTTTTGTAAAATATCAAATGGATGAACGTGAGAATAGACGAAAACAAAGAGTGGAAAAAAAAATTCACGAACTAACATTTAATGATAGTCATAATGACAATGATGATTCATTTTACAATATTTTGGAATTCGCCGAAAACTATTTTAACACACATGACAACTCAACTGATCGTAACTTTATTTCCACACCGACACAAAGGGGAAAAATTTCTGATACAAAGGCAAAACACGACATGACAATGTTTTCTAAGTCAGACAAAATTCCAACGTCGCATATACACATGTATGATCCTGAGAATGTTTTATTGTCGTGCAACATTTTTCGGGTAAGCATAATTCTCCTTTAATAATATTTTTTATTGCAAAATTCGTCATAAAAATCTAAGTCATGCGCCCACCACGCCTGCACTTTTGAAAATCTTTGGCGTTTTCTTCATTATTTTATTTTTTCCCCAATTTCTACGGATATTTCGGAAAATTTGTCATTCGAAATTCCAATAGCTGAGTTACGGGTATCTGATAGTCGGGGAACTCGACTATAGCATTTTTTTTTTTTTGTATATTAATGAAATATTAATGAATAATATATTAGTTTGGCACCCTTCCGCCTTTTTGTCTTTAGAATTTCGCGGCTATGTACAAAGCGCTACAGAGCTTGTATCTGGCAATACTATACATAATTTGAAAGGTCGCTATGCATGATTAGTTTGGATATTGCGTTCAACAGTTATAGACGTGTGAACATGGAGTTCACTAACGCGGAAATTCGCGCTATTTTAAAGTTTTCCTAAAAAGGAAAAAGGCAAATCCGCCAGAGAAACGTTCCGTGAGATTAATGGTGTTTTGGGGGATGGTACTCTATCACTTCGAACCGCGGAGGAATGGTTTCGACGATTCAGAGCCGGTGAAAACGACACCATGGATAAGCCAGCCGGCGGAAGACCTGTGACGACAAATACCGATCAAATCATGGAATACATCGAGTTAGACCGGCATGTGGCATCTCGTGACATCGCCCAGGAGATGGGAGCTAGTCACCAAACCATATTAAACCATCTGCAGAAGGCTGGATACAAAAAAAAGCTTGATGTTTGGGTGCCGCATGATTTGACGTAAAAAACCAAAGTTCAACTCAAATGAGGCTTGTGAAAAGTGGCTGTTCGAGTTCGCAAATAAGGAGGGGGGCTTCTACGAGGGAGGTATTATGAAGTTGCCGTCTAGATGGAAACAGATTATCGAACAAAACGGCGCATATTTGAACTAAATCCGATCACTGTAACACTTTTTATAAAGCATTGAATAAAAAGCAAAAAAGAGGAAGGGAGATATTTACCAACCTATTATTACCTTCTTCTTATCTTAAGGTTGGCATCCCAATTTAGACGCAAACAGTAAAGTGTGAAGTGTGTGGACTGCAAACGGGTGATCCATACTCAAGAATCGGACGGACTAGCGAAATGAATAAGGTTTTGACCATGTAAGGATCATTAAATTCGTTTGACCACCTTTTTATAAAACCAAGCACACACCTGGCCTTATTGACAATAGACGAAATATGATCTGAAAATGTTAGTTTGGAGACTAGAAGAACACCTTGATCATTAATCCCTGTTATTCTGTCCAAAGAGCACCCACTTAGAGTGTAAGTCGCCTGTTTGGTTCCACACGACAAAAGGGTATAACCTTACACTTAGAGCCATTTAAGTTTAGTACGATATCACGGCACCATATTTGAAAGCAATCTAGATCGAATTGTAAGTTCGAATGGCAAGAAATGTCTTCATTTAGATAACTTAAATTCTAATTTAGAAACAGGGAGGCCTAAGAAATCAAGTTTCCTAACCAAAAGTGAATTATTATCAGACTCAAATGTTAATCAAAAGTCAGTGTAGATGACATTTGTTTGAAAGTTATTTTTGAAGCCGTGTAGGAAGGAAGTTAGCTCCAAAAGGTTAGTGGTTATTGATCTGCGTTTCATAAAACTGTGCTGACAAGATGATATAATTAATCTACAAAGCTGCTGCAAAGAGGAGTGATAACATTTTAAAAAGCTTAGGTATAACCAACAACTTAGAGATTCTTTTGCTTACGTCTAATTTATTACCTTTTTATGGAGAGGGATCACAAAGGACTCCTTCCATATATGGGGGAATTAATAAGGTAAAAAGTTTCAGCCCCTACCTTGCACAAGGCTTCCACACAGAACCTAAGCACACAGCCAGGAACTCCGTCGGGACCTGGCGAATAAACAGGCTTAACACAATGACGATCGTAAAACAGTTGGTTTCCGTTTAGAGTGGGTCATAATATTAAATTCAATTTTTTTACCGCGTAAGAGCCTTAGCTGATCGGAATGAGGTAACATAAAATATGTTGTTTGGAAAAACTGGGCAAATAGATCGGCTTTTGTCCGAACCGATGTTACAGTAGTATTTTCAAAAAAAAAAAAAACGAAAGGTAAGAAATCGTTATGTGCTTGGTGTTAACGAAGTTATTTCATATTTCCTCGATAAGTCAATCTAGAAGTTAACCTCCGCAAAACTCAAGTTCTAGCACTGTTAGAGTTTTCAAAGAAGCTACTCAACCTTTAGCAGTCTGTTAAGGATTAGCCTCTTCAAAATTTTTTCGAGGGAGGGAAGATATAGTTATATAGTTATAGGACCTCATGCTAGCAGCTTTCCAGACTTTTGGGAAATAACCCGCAAGCAAGATGCTGTTATAAATGCTTGCTAAGAACCGCAAGGCTTGATCTGGCAAACTTCGAATGGTTCTGTTAAGAACATACATACACGTATGTATATGTCGGAGCATAATTTTGCATGTGTTAGTGTATTGGTATTCTGGTAGTGTATTTCATCATAATGGAAATATTGCATCAGCCTCTTTTTCGCAGTTATTGGTTGCTTGTAGTTTGTAGTTTTGGGAAGAACCGTTTTAGCGCGGCGCCAGCGTGTTGTCGCTGACGCCGAGTGTGGTTCGATGGTAAGCACGGAAAAGAAGAGTGCGACACAAGGCAGTTGTGCGTAGTACTTCAGTGCGATCGGAACTCACTGCGCTAGCATTATGGCAAATAACAACGAAACTGCGACATATACATAACGATCCAAAGTGCACATTTAAATAGTGATCCTCCATATAGACCGCAAAGTTACACGAATATAGATATAAATTATAACGCAGATGAATTGTGAACCGTCAAACTTACTCCTTTTTAATACTTTGCTAGGAAATCTCGACGCCCTAGATCCTGGGTTTTGGATTATATTAAAATAGATTTTAATATACAGAGGTGGTCAAAAGTATTTACACAACGTGCTTTTTTTTCAATTGTCAACTTTGATCGCTTATTGCTGCTGCATTTGTACTCAGAAACGAACATAACGGTATTTGTCGTGCTTCTACATCTATACAGAAGCAAACGAAAGAAGAAGTGGAAAAAATAACTGTTCATGGGCTAAAAATAGAAACATTGAACTGATGCTTGTCTGTTGTCAGAAGTATTTACACACAATTTTTACGCGTCAAAATTATTTACACAGTGCAAATTGAAGATTAGTCTTTGATTTGCATTGAGTAAGTGAAGTTATAGTTGATGTTGATCGCTTAATTGGAACTTAAACTAACTGTTAACAGTTAAATTAATATATAAAACTAAGCATTTAATTTGTAAAATGGCAATAACAAAGGAGCTATCAGTTGAGCATCGAGCCGAGATTGTCACTAAATTTAAGGCTGGTACTTCTGCATCCAAATTAGCTGAGTTGTACAAAATATCACGTAAAACTGAGTACAATTTAGTTAAAAAAAAGGACACACTGGGAAATTTGGAAAATAAAAAGAGAACTGCCCGAAAAGTTGGATTGAACCCAAGAGACTGCAGACACATTATAGGAGTTGTACTAAGTAATCCCACCATAAGTACCGTTAAAATTGTTGGAGCTTCGAAAAATTTAATTGGAAAACATATTAGCGATAGTACACTGCGTCGCAGAATGAAGGAAGTTGACATCAACACCTATGTTGTTCGTGCAGTAGTTGATATTACCCCAAGAAACAAGGAAAAACGTCTCGCATTTGCCTTGGAGTATAAAGAGAAGCCTCTCGAGTTCTGGTTTCAGTTTCAGGGATCATTTAGCAAGCAATTTATGCATCTCCCAAAACAACTAAAGGGTAATGCCGTCCAGCCAATCAATCGGTTTGGTGGTGGCACGGTGATGTTCTGGGGCTGTTTAAGCTACTATGGATTTGGAGACATGGTATCGATAGAGGGTACACTAAATCAAACAGGATACCTCCATATCTTAAATGAGCACGCATTAACCTCAGGAAATAGACTGTTCTCCACGAATGACTGGATCTTGCAGCAGGACAATGCTCCATGCCACAAGGGCCGAGTACCAACCAAGTTCTTGAAAGACATAAATCAGGTGGTTTTTCCATGCCCCGCACAAAGCGCCGATCTGAACATTATCGAAAATGTCTGGGCTTATGTTAAGAGTCAGAGGACATTTGAAACAGATCGCCAGCGCGATGAAACTATAGCCGAAATTACGGATATTTGTTCCAAATTACCTCTTGAGTTTGCGCACAACTTGGTCCGGTCAATACCAGCAAGGCTCCAAGCAGTCATTGATGCCAAAGGCGGAGTAACTAGATATTAGTTGGCCTAACATAATCACATATTAAAATAATATAAAATATTTCGTTTAAATTCAATAAAAAACGCAAAAATCAAATAAAAAAGCTGTGTGTAAATAATTTGGACGTGTAAAAATTGTGTGTAAATACTTCTTCTCTATAACAAGAAATCTCGTGTGGTCAGATAAACTCTGCAAATCAACTTAGAAAAATCCCGTGCGGTCGGATACAAAATTTTATTAAAATTTTTAATTCCGTGGGTTGAAATAAACCAAAACAAATAACATTTTAAAACTCTGTGCATCAAGAAATTTACAAATACTACAATATAGCAGTTCCATAACATTCTGAGATCCACCTGAATAAAATACTGGGCCAGATTAAAGAGTTACATTACTACGATGGCACACCTGGCAAGTTGTCCGAATTCGAGCAACTGCTCAATCCATATCCCACCCAAGATGCCAGGCAGGCACGTGCAATATATGGAGCGGTGAAACGCTGGAAGTTGTAATACAAGCAAGAGCAACGACATGGATGGAAATTAAAACAAAATTAGCAACATCATTCAAGGACCATAGACCATACGTAACCCTAGTAAGAGAGCTGGAGTAAACAACATACCCCGGTAGCATTAGTAAGTTTATTGAAAAATTAGAATTACAATATTGGAATATTTTTGATAAAT